TGGTGGTTGAACAATCGAATGATCATCAACGGCCAAATCATCATTTGGCGGCATGATGAAAAATCAAGAATGAATTTCGTGCGAACAGACATTTAAATCTGATACCATAATAAGACTAAACGTGGACAACAAATCTGTTCCCATTTATTCACCAAATGATATAATTGTCCATATAAATACAAATATCACCTAAATTAGGTGACACAAAGATAACTAACTACCTAACTATATAGCTAACTGATTTTAGGAGTATTATTCTAATAATTAGACTTTGCTCGCATACAACTTTTTGAATGAGATGATAAAATTTATTAATTTTAGATAAAATCTTATTTTAGCCTTAGATATTTAAGTTATTTAATTTTTTCACTAATTTTCTAAAAGTTACATAAACTCCATACTTTTAGTATTATTGTACCTAGTTCTTCTATTCACACTTAATCACATTATTAATTTTAATTAATACATTATTTTATTTTATGATTCTCGCATCATTCTTAAATATTAGTGATGTAATAGACCATGAATGAAAGTAGTATCGAAAATTTTACATATTATCAAAATACTTCAAAAATTTCCCAACAAAGACCAAAATAATAAAATTCTTTTGTTCAATTACAAATTTAGTCTATGAACTTTCAAGGTAGTAGCTAACATGTCTTAGACTTTAAATGTTTTGTCTAATAAGTCTCTAAAATTTTCGATACTTTTTTATAATTCGTCAAATTATTGAACTTTGTGTCTATTAAGATCTCGATTAAAATATAGTTTTATTTAATAGGTCCATTAACTTAAAAAATAATTAATAAATTAAATATCCATTAGATACCTAATTAAAAATATAGAGATAGATAAAACACGAATTAAATTTATAATTGAACTCAATTTTTTAATAGTTGTGTATAAAATAGATAGATAAAAAGAAAAAAGAGATATATAGATATATATATATATATTTTTAAGTACAAAAGAAAAGGAGATTCAAGTCTTAATTTAATATAATAATTTAGTATAATACGACTTTTCTTTTTTCCTTATTCGCCACCGACCTTAGAAAAAAGTTATTTTGACAACGATTCAAGAAACTCCAATACTTTTTCAGCATTCTCGGAGGCTGACGTCACCAAAAAAGTAAATAAAAAAAGTTTTCCACGTGGCCTATTCAAGTTCTCCGATACCAAACCAAACTTTTTATTTATTTATTTATAATTTATTATTATTATTTTTTCTCTCTCTTTGTCTCCTATCAACCAATCCCAAACATTGGTCCCCATCTCATAAAAGCTCTTTTCAACAACCCAACGAATTATTGTTATTATTATTTTATTCCCACAAAACTCCCCCACTACTTTACTTATTTAAGTATTTGCCACATTCAATAATAAATATTTGGTCGATTTTAGTGGCTGTATTTTTTAAAAATTTTATTTTGATTACTTTGTTTATTTTAGTATCCGCAATCTAAAAAAATTCATTTTAATACATATAGTTTAAAAAGAAGGGATCATTTTGGTCCTTTTATTTTTATTTTTATTTAATTTATTTCAATTATAATTTTAACATGATATTTAACTCACTCAAATTTTTGATTGTCATAAATTTATATTCAAGAGTTTTTATTGTTTATAAAATTTGTGTTAAAATTTTATAAATAAGGACCAAATTAGTCACTTTTTAAAAGTTTAAAAAATATACGAAAATTAACAAACGTTGAAAATACATGGACCAAAATAGCTTTTAAACCTAAATGTCTAAACTACTCATCTCTCGACTTAAACTCAGTAATTAAGATACCTGTAATATATATGTATGTATTTTTTTTTTTTAAGTTGAAGGTTTAACTTCCACCTTCGTAGTTGTTGAAGTTAAAGAAAAAATATACTATTATTTTTAAGAGAAAATTATCGGAAAACATAAATTTGATATGGATTATCATTGCATAAGTGTGACTTTTCTCATTATGCTTTATATTACATTAAAATTAATATTTTACTTCAATTGTGTCGTCTTTCTAAAATTTCAAACTTTACTATATTTTAACATATATATTTATTGTGCTATTTGTGTAAATGCTTATGTTATTTAATTTGATACTTTTTTTTAATTAAATTAAAGTTTAGTTTGTCATCATATTTTAAAATTATTTTGTAAGACTTTTAAACATTATGAATGATATATATATAATATCTATCCCATTAACGTTGTTCAAGTTGAATAAATAAATGATGATGTGTTGTTTAAAAATATTATAATTTGTAATGTGATGTTTTTATAATGTTAAACATCCACCTCGTGTTATTCTATTAAAAAAATTTAAAGGAATGGATTGGATTTTTTTTTAATTAGGTAGGATCATTTGAATTTGATTTTTTTTAATTAGATATGTCTAATTCTCCCATTTGAATATAATTCAACAAGCTAAGACACTTATCTTCAACCAAAAAGTTGCGAGTTCAAATCTCATCTCACAATTTCTGTGTCAGAGATATATGTCAATCATCGTTGAATTCTACTCGCTTTTGTAAAATTAAGAAGAAAATTAGTAATATAAATTATCGGTATCAAATGATATATATTCTGCAATAGTTAAGTATTCAATTTTATTAAGTTACGACTAATTCGAGTCGTGTGGTGGAGTGAGAAAGCCTTTATCCTAAAGTTTATTAAGAAGTCATACCAACTACCTTTTTATATTAAAAAAGAAAAAAAAAAGCTACTTTTATATAGGTCAAAGATTTACCTTTACAAATAGGCCTACTTTAATGCCATAATTACATGAATTAATGTGATAACTAATTCTAACCTAAGAACAAATAAACAAGTAATGAATGTTCTTGGTTAGATCACCTTATTCATATCTAATAGGGTTGATTTTATTATTTTGAATGAATTAAATATAAGTTTAAATAATATTTTCTTTCAACTCTTTTATTTATTTAATTTTAATATGTACTTACCATCCTTTAGTTCTTACATTTTTAAATATTTTATCCAATCCTGAATTTTGCATAAAAGAAAAAAAAAACCCCTTTTAGTCCATTGTCATTAACACTTTTTTTTTTGTCCCAAATCTTGCATAAAACTAATTTTCTTTCACTTTTTGCAATTAAATTCTTTAGGTTTTTCTTTTATCATTTATTTCTTATTTTGTCAAAGTTAGCATAATTTAACTAATTAGCTAAGAGATAAAGTAACGTACTTTCGAATCTACGTTGATTAACTAAAAAAAAGTGATTGATAATTATAGAGGAGTCTAACTACAAGTGGACGGGTGGGCTAATAGAGTAGAGTTGACAAGTAGATTAGGCTCGATACCAGCTCGAAATTAGTCTACCTAACATGTTTTAATTATTGTTTGGTCACACCATATCGGTTCTAATTAATAGATAATGCCAAATAACAGGGTAGGAGGAGAGAGGTTGTTGAAGGTTCAAGGAATGACACCTCATACTTAAGGTCCGACTCAGAACCTTACTTGGACTTCAGCCTTAACCAAGGTCGTGTTGAGCCATCAAATGAAGTCGGTCTCAACCGTTCACGTACTACTGTAGATCTCGTGGTACTATTAAATAGGTCCCACGTGTCAATGCTTATAAATGTGTGATCATAGACTCCATAAGTAGTATGTGAATTTGATTGTTCGTCTTGAGAACGTACGTCGAATTCTATTTATTTGAGTGTTTCGGAGTTCTTTTCTTTTGTGCATGTTTTGTTTGCATTTCTCGAATTGAATCCCTCCATCTTTTCTCGAAAATAAGAATTTCAACGTAAAGAACATTAATAACAAAAATTTATTAGACTCAAAAATTGAAATCTAGAAATTTAATCGAAATCCTTTTAAATTCAAAAATCAAATCACAAGGTTCTAGAAGTTTAAAGCTCAAATTTGTAATTTAGAACGGGAAGAAAATTATTTTATGAATTTAATGAAAGATAATAAAAGAAAGACGTTAGAACAAATAAACAAATAATAAATGTACTTAAAAAGTAATTATAAAGAATAATTTCTACGTCATCATGTTAGATCACCTCATCCATATCAAATAGGTTTGATTTTATTATTTTGAATTAATTAAATATAAGTTTAAAAATATTTTCTTTCAACTCTTTTATTTATTTTATTTTAGTATGTACGTACTATCCTTTTAGTTCTTAAATTTTCAAATATTTTATCCAATTCCTGAATTTTGCATAAAAAAAAAAAATCCCTTTTTGGTCCATTGTCAATTAACACTATTTTTTGTCTCAAATCTTGCATAAAGTTAATTTCCTCTCACTTTTTGCAATAAATTTTTGTTACGTTATATTTCGTGGAAATAAATTCTTTTTGTTACATTATAAATTGTCTCTATCACTTATTTACGAAACATAACTCAACCACGTATAAATTCTAAAATCTTATTCTATTCATTATTAATTAACTTTAAAAAAATGAAAAAATTTTTTAGAGTACACTAACAACAAGTAGGCAGGTGGGCTAATAGGGTAAAGTTGACTAGTGGATTAGGCCATGATACCCACTCGAATTTAGTCTATCTGACATGTTTTAATTGTTCTCTCACATCATATCTACATAACGAAGTTAATAAATCTTTTATTAGACTAAAATAAATTGAAAATCCAAAAAATTAAGTGGAATTTTTTAAATTTCTAACTTAGAAACTTTAAATTTAAAATGACGCGACAACTAACTTAAAAGCTTGTACGAATTAAATTTGAAAGGATGAAAAGAGAGCAAATATGAAATAAGTTACTGTTTTTAAAAGAAAATTTAAAATAAAATTAGATAGACAATAATAAAGAATGGACAAAATTTAAGGATTTTTTTTTTTGGGTTGTAATTTAGCCTATAGAAGAGGGGAAGAAAATTATTTTATGCATTTAATGAAAAATAATAAAAGAAAAAAGATATTAGGAAAATTCAAAATTTCGAAGCATAGAGTCCCTGAATACAGGAGATCGTCTCCAAACACTATATATAAGGGAAGAACCCCAACTCTTTTGAGTCTCAAATTCATCAGAAAATTTATTTATTTTCCTTTTTTACTTTCCGTTTCCATATTCTTCTTCTCCCCCCTCTAAAATTTTCCTTCACTCGGAACTCCTGAAATCCTGAGATCTTCTTTCCGTGGGCGAAATCTTCTCTGATTCTCGTAAATTGCAGTTTGATCTACGGAATTCCGTTGCTCGATCGGACGGGAAAATCAAATCAGTGTGGCTTCAGGAGTCTGGAAATTGAAGCGCATGAGCTGGTTGGGGAAGCTGGGTCTGAACGTGAATACGAATTCCAACCACTTCGTTACTCGTCTTTTGATCTTCATCCTCCATTACTCCCCTCAGTTACTCCCTCCGTCGCTTCAATTTCATAATCGATCGCTCCTCCCGCTGTTGTTTGATCATTTTAATCTCCCTACTCCTGAAATCACTCTCATCGTTAATTCAAGTGTAATATCGAATACTCGTCATGGAATCCGGAGCCAAGAGTAATTCCGAACTACGCAGAGGTTTGATTCTCTCTCTCTCTCTCACCCACACACGCTTAGCACAGAGTAAGAAATCATGTGAGATCTTAATGGGGGTTCTTTGCATGCCAGAGATTTGCTATCCAAATCCTCGGAAACGGCAGGTGAGATCGCCGCCGTCTGTCATAGTGATCGGCGGTGGCATGGCCGGAGTTGCGGCCGCCCGTGCTCTCCACGATGCCTCTTTTCAGGTAAGGATACTGTCGTTTCTTTTTGACTTATGACGTTTTATATCTAATTTTTTTCGCCCAAATGATATTAATGTTGAATTATCGGTGCGATCATATCACTGGAGAAACAGGGGCCGTAATTATTTCAAGGAATGAATTTATAAGTTTGTTTGTTACCAATAATATTGATCAGGTAACACTTTTGGAGTCACGAGACAGACTTGGCGGTCGTATTCACACTGATTATTCCTTTGGTTTTCCTGTTGATCTTGGAGCATCATGGTAAGCTGTTATAATTTCTGTAATTTCGTTTCACTTACATTGCGATGATTTACATGTTTAGATTTAGTCACGACTTATGAATAATTTGCAGGTTGCACGGGGTGTGTGCAGAAAACCCATTGGCCCCATTGATTGGCAGACTGGGATTGCCCTTATACCGAACTAGTGAGGATAATTCTGTGTTATATGACCATGATTTGGAAAGGTATCGAGTAAATTTCTTTTTTTTTTTGGGTTTTTTATTTTGTTTCATGAACCCTACCATCAAAACTATAATATCTCTGATCTCGAGCGAAAGTCATTTTTTTTTCCCTATTTTGGAGTCCCATACTTACAGTTAACTTAGTATGTTTACTTTTCCTTTGTGAACAATGGATTGATTTGTTCAGGAAGAAAAGGAATCCATCCTTAGTATGAGTTGGATCCTTTTTAAAGCTGATGCAAATGAAAGCAAGTCCTACAGGTGGATACTAATCTCATGGTGTAGTCTCTTCATTGTTGTTTACATCTACTATTAATCTGTGAATGAATTGTGTTTAGGTGTGGTTTTAAAGCAATCTCAGGATTGGAAAAGGATTTCTTGCCATCTGTTTTGGATCGATTAGCTACTGTTCTCACTACTTTCTTTTTTCAAAGGAAGATTGATGGTGCCCCTCTTGTTTGTTTATTTATAAAAATTCATATTTCAGAACTGGGTTTTGATCTGTTGATTACTGGGTGTATTTTTTTGGGTCAAATAATTTGGGTTTGTAGATTTTTTTATTTTTATTTTTATTTTTATTGGCATTAGTGTGAATTGAACAGCACTTTCTTGTAAAAGTTCAACTTAAATTGGTCTTTGAATTTTTTTACTATTTAGTTTTATTTTATTTATCCATCCGTTTCTTCAGGGCTTCATCTTATCATTTATGTGAACAATTCTTCTTTGGTTTATTAATAATGTTAAATTTCTTATCAGTTATGCACTGTTTGATATGGATGGGAGTCAAGTTCCTCCAGAGTTGGTAACAAAAGTCGGCGAAACATTTGAAACCATTTTGAAAGAGGCAAGTCACTGCCCCCTCTTTCCCAGTCTAATTCTGTTGTTGCTTGATCTAATAGAATGCATAATTCATATTTTATAATTATAAAATAAACAGCTTTGTTTTCTGCTTCTTGGGATTTAAGTTATATTTATTGGTGGCCTCTTAGTTTTCTTTCTTGCTTTATACAGACAGAAACTATAAGAGAGGAACATAGTGAAGACATGTCAATTATCAGAGCAATCTCGATTGTCTTTGAAAGAAGACCAGAATTAAGGTTGGTTATCTGCATTTAAGATACATGATCATAACTAGACTTACGGAAATATCCAAGTTCTTTTCCCCTAAGAAAAACTATGCCATTTATTAACTTGCATTGTCTATTCAGAGACACAGTATATACTTGTAGGCCTATACTTATATGATTTCTCTGATGCAGGTTGGAGGGGCTTGCCCATAAGGTTCTTCAATGGTATTTATGCAGGATGGAAGGATGGTTTTCTGCAGATGCCAATACTATTTCACTTAAAGGCTGGGATCAGGCAAGTTGCATTTCTAGTAAACTGTTTGACTTCCTATGATGTTTAATATTATACAATCAAGCCGATCAAGTAGAGTGAAAATGTCTCAAAGATGCGTCATTGTTTACTTGTGGAATACACAAGAAAGTGAAACCTTTTTTCTTTCTAACAGGGTTGAAAATTTTTTCTTAATTTTTTTTTTTTTTTTTGGAAGTCTTTGATTCCTACTTCTAACTAATTCTATGGTCTTGGGTAGTCTATTCATGTTTAGAATTGGATCGGTCAAGTGCTATCTTGTTGCTTTACCCACTTGATTTCTACTTGATCGTTCCTCATCTGTTTCGGGAGTTCTTCATTCTCCACTTTCTTGTTCTGCTAGCCAGAATAGATACTGCACATCTTTATGCAATTATGATTTTCTGAATTTACAGAAGAAATCATCCTTCTTGATAAAATGGAACCTTTCCTCAAATCCTCAAAATGATTTTTTTTTTTAATTCCGCAGACATTTAAGATGAAAGAATAGAACCACATATATGTAAGGTTAACATGAATAACTGGTATTGAAGTGATAAAATTTGTTGAATTCACGTATGCATGAACAATAAAATAACATGCGCACAGAGAATAGATGAGCGACAAACTATATATTTTTTTTAACAGTTTCTTATTCATAACTCTCTTTTTCTGGTTTGATAGTCTTTAGTGCCTCCTCTTAAAATTACTTGTTTTATATGTTCAGGAAGAACTGCTCCCTGGTGGACATGGGCTTATGGTCAGGGGCTACCTACCTGTTATCAACACACTTGCTAAGGGTATTGATGTCCGCTTAGGTCAAAGGTAATTCAGTTCGCCCTCTTCTTCAGTCACTGTTTCTTTACATACCAACCTATCCTAAACTATGTTGGCTTTCAGGGTTACGAAAATATCGAGACAATATACCGGAGTGAAAGTAACTGTAGAAAATGGAAAAACATTCAGAGCTGATGCTGCTATTGTTGCTGTTCCTCTTGGGGTGCTTAAAGCAAAAGTCATCAAGTTTGAGCCCAAGCTTCCAGACTGGAAGGAGGCAGCCATTGCTGACCTTGGAGTAGGTCTTGAAAACAAAATAATCTTGCACTTCGAAAATGCATTTTGGCCAAATGTGGAGTTCTTGGGAGTTGTTGCAGACACATCACAGAACTGCAGCTACTTCCTCAATCTCCACAAGGCCACAAGTCAACCTGTCCTTGTTTACATGCCTTCTGGGCAGCTTGCTAGAGACATTGAGAAGATGTCTGATGGAGAAGCTGCCAATTTTGCTTTCATGCAACTCAAGAAGGTTGTCCCTGATGCACCAGCCCCGGTAAGTCTTATACGTTACGTTGGTTATTAATGTTGCTGCTATATAAGTTCGATGACAAGCAAACAAAAATGTCTTTTCATCTTATAGATTCAGCATCTAGTTTCGAGGTGGGGGTCAGATGTCAACTCGCTTGGATCCTACAGCTACGATAAAGTAGGCAAACCCCATGATCTGTTCGAGAGGCTGCGAATTCCTGTCGATAACCTATTCTTTGCTGGGGAGGCTACGAGTATCAACTATCCAGGATCTGTGCATGGCGCATACTCAACTGGTCTGATGGCTGCTGAAGACTGCAGGATGCGCTTTCAAGAGCATTATGGGGATTTGGATTTGTTCCAGGCGGTCATGGCGGATGAGACTCCATTATCGGTCCCATTGTTAATTTCCCGAATGTAATCCTCTCCTCCCAAAAGACGTGGTCGTGATTGTTACATCAGATTATGTCCAGAAGATGCAGCACAGAAAATCCTTTAGCTAGAGGATGGAACCGTGATGTATCTAGTAGTTTTATGAAGCACAAAATGGTGGGACTTGATTGCATCCTTCAGATTTCTGAAACAGTGTGTGGTGTGGTTATGCCTATGGACTTGTAACTATTACCTAAGCTTTGCTATAAACACTTATAATGAATAAAGCCTTTACTTAAAAAAATGTGAGTTTTTCCACCTTTTTTGGGGTGCAAAGGACGACAATGGTGATTTTCTATTTGAAAATTTAGGTACATTTTTGGTTCCTAAACTTTAATTTGTAACAATTTAATTCCTATAATTCCTCAACTCTAATTTATAGCGACGAAAGTTCTTAGTTTAAAATTTGTTAAGAATTTAGTCCCTATCATAAGAAATATTATTAAAATTAAGTTTTAAGTTTTATCCTATAATAATTTAATCTTTTTAATTTATAAATATATTTAATCCCTAATTGGTTTATCAATCTATAAATATAAGAAATTTAACAAAAAAAAATTTCACAATCGTTAGAAACTTAAGAAACTTATGTTAAGAAACTTTAAATTACAAGGACTACATTGTAACCAATTTAAAAGTACAGGGATTAAATCGTGACAGTGTTTTTTTTACTTGGAGAATCGATCCTAAATTATTTAGATTTATGAACTTTGAGTTTTGTTTCACTTTGGTCTTGATACTTCAAAACGTCTATTTTAGACTCTCAACTTTCAACCCAGGCCTATTTTTGGTCCCTACCATTAATTTTATAAATTAGGGCCAGATAATGATGGAATTATTTTAGACGCTAATGTTGGCAGAAAACTTAGCATCTTATTTGATGGTTTAAGTTCTAATTTTCCTTTTTATCAAATTAAACCTAACTTTAAATAACTGTTTAGATGAGAAAATTGTTACTCGTGTGATAATAGAATGGTCTGTACCAATCAGACGTTTACTTAGGTAAAAGAGCATGTAGTTTAGTTGGATGTAAAGTTTTATATGTCGGTCGATAAATGCTTCTGAAAAAACCACAAAAATAACAAATTTATAACAAATTTTAAATTAACAAGTAAATTTCACTGTTTAAATTATTAATATTATCCACTCTATTATGATATTTTTTATATTTGGTCAATTTTTTACGCAATACTATGAAAATACAGATTTCAAACCCATAGATATCTAAAAAGAAATTTGATACCCGATTTGTTGATATTCTAGTGCTTTCAAGAATGCAATAACAAGGGCGGGTATAGGGCATAGGGGAGCGAAGCTCCGACTCCACCAGCTCACACCGCATGATGTCAAGTCCTGTCCTTCCAAACCAAACTTTTATACACATTTCTTAACTAATTTTTCATTTCAATTCACCTCCATTTTCAAATCAAACTATATAGTACAAAAAATATATAATAATAATAATAATAATTCAACTGCATACCTTTCCACAATGACTTTGAAGACAAAGGAAGCTTGATATTTCAACCATCTGTGATACTTTTTCTTCACCCAATCCAGAATCAAGATTGAGAGAAAAGAGGGCATTCTAGCAAATGCAAATTGGAAATGACAGATTAGAGGAACCAAAGTACCAGAAATTGCTTTCAAGTTGACAGTAAACACATGAAATTGCAGCAAATGCACTAAAATCATGCATTAATGTTGACATCACTTTGAACACATCCTGCCAAGAGCCCAAAACAGCATATTTCTTTTTTCAATCACCAAATAGTTATTAGAAAATGACAGACTCTAGGTTAGTAAATTGCCTATATTTATACCAAGAACTGAAATAGCTTAGTCACAAGACTTCTTATTTTCTTCACCTTCACAATACCGGGCTCATCGTTTTCGACTTTGCTTCTGTACAACTCATGAGACTCTATGAATAATTGTCAGTTACTTGTCTACAGCCTTATTCTCGACGAGAATCTTTCAAGAAATTCCAGGCTAACAATGCAGCCCCAATTGCAGGTTCCACCTGTTTTCAGTTCAAGAAAATGTACCTATGAGATTGTTGCAGGGTGAAAAACATGCATTTTAATGAAAGAACAATAAGTCAATAACTATTGTTGTTTCTATAAACAATTCATCTATATGTTTTCATTGAATTTTTATTTAACAAATAAAGATTATTTTTCAAAACAGCACCACATATATCAAAAAGTAGAAACACATGCATAGAAAGACTAGAGGATATTGAAGGATAAGCTAACCTTAGGCCAAACGGGAACTACCCCAGGGTAGTCCTTAGAAATGCAGTTTATAACTTCTTCTGCTATACCCCATCCCTTGTTTCCTTCAAGAACTCCACCAACCATGACAAGGGGAAAAGAATCCTTTCCATCTGCAATATACGTTAATGCTTCCACTGAGAGTTGAGGCAAAACTTTGGTTAAAAATTTCAAGAAGGAAACTATCATATTTATTGAACCCTCATTCGCGGCTTCTCCTCTTCCTTATTTCCTTAAATGAATCAACAAGAAATTTATGGAGATCCCTATACCAATGAATATCTGTGCATGATTAGTAGCCTTCTGTAACAGACCCCTCAAGAGATATACATGGACCAGCTCGACAAATTTTATGAACACATAAAGATAAAAGGTTAATCCCATTCAATTTTCATCATCCGCTATGTGATTGAGATATTTATGATCAATTTTGTTGCACATTCAAGTACAGATCCAAAGAGAAATACATTGAGGAGATGTTGTACTTTATCTCAAAGCCAGAACCCAGAACATGAGCTAAAAAACACATTCTCCAAAGAAGGAAAGATGTCAAGGGAGGTTTAATAGAAAAAGAGCACTTCTAGATTTGGGTTCGGATTCTGAGGAGGGTGCCCAGGGGAATCAAGTTTATAAACTACGATAAAAGATTTCCACTATTCCAGTACCTGAACCGCACAATTCGAGTCTTCGAACAACAGCATTTACGCTTAAAGCCAACTCCTTAACTGAATCTTGCAGAATATTATTTGCAACTTCATCTCCTGCTTCTGCACATGACACAACAATAGGGACAAGTGCAGCAATGCGAGCCCAAGATGTATCTGCGTAGGTCCACCTAATTTTCAATGATATACCTAATCAATCATGCATCATACAGCAGTTTCCATACCATTCTTAACATACGAATTTGGCACGATTGTCACAAACTGACCAAGCACGAACTACTTTTCTAGTGAAAAGTTCAAGAAATACATATATAAAGCACGCTTCTGATAGGTATGTTATTAAAACTAAAAAAGGAGAGAGAGAGAGAGAGAGAGATATTATCCCTTCTACTTCATGTAATTTATTTTGTCCACAAAGTTCAAACCGCATCGAAGAATAAAAAAAAAAGTAGCTAGCGAAGATTGCGACCAGTAATACCAAGTTTATATACCCAATGAGTTCATCAGGAGAAGAAAGACCGAGAATCTGAAGAATACTATTTGTGAGCTTTGTTTGAGGACCACGACCATCATGCGCCCTTATAATTGCAGTTAAAGCCTGCGCTGATATGCCATACCCACTGAAATTACAAAAAGTATCACCTCAAATGAAAAGTGACAAAAGAAAAGGAAAATGTACATGTAACGCACAATACTCCAGAAAATTGTGTCCTCAAACAGAACCTATTTTTCTCTTGAACCAATCCACAATAAAACAGAACCTATTTTTTAAGAACAAACAATTGTGTCCACTAGATAGCTCAGAGGACGATCTGTCAATATGGCAGTTCAGATATCAATTCAGAGGGGGTAATACATAATTTTTTACCTCCAAGTAGCTCATACACAAATTCAAGTTAAAATATTACATCATTTAGGAAAACCCTGCAGCAAGGAAAATGAAAAGAAGAGATGCAGCACAGCATTTATTAGTTGAATCATTATTCTTTTTCCTTTCAGATTGGAACCAAATGACTTTCTTAGAACTTGTTAGTATCTAATTTAAGAAACGAGGTTTACTATTTAAAAGAATAACCAGTTGTAAAAGAGAGAGAGAGAGAAGATATATAAACACTCTTATTGGAATTACTGCAATTCTCTACCAAGGGAACTGTAAGAGGCCAAAAAGAACAAAAAGCCTCGTGAATCTCTCTATTGTTCTTATCAACACCTACAAAAACTATCATATTTTTCTTTTTTGCTAAAATGTCCAAAGTCGATACTCAGTGACATTCAGTCATAAAGCTTAGCTTTATCTCTAAACAGATGGCCACATAACATTTGGCATTTGAGTTTTTTAAGCTGAGAGGAAGCAATAGGAACTACAGATGTAAGAGAAAAATATAGGATGATAGTTACTTCGCCGTGGGGACCCATCCCAAATGAGGCTGAGAATACCCGTTTAAGTGGGCTGGAGGGCAGGGTTAGGGGGATAAAATTTTTCCCTGTGACCTAAACAAGGACGGAGAATATGTTCTCCATCTCTACCCCTGCCCTGCCCTGTTTATTAGTCTGGAACATACTTAGGGGGATAAAGTTTCCTTTTAACATACAGCATCTAGTTGGCAACATACTTAGGAGGCAAGAGATGCCCATTAATTTGACTGAAGATTTCCAAGGAATTACTACAACATTGTTAGGCATGGTCTTCATGACTAAACAAATAAACTATTGAGAACGACTGTATGAGAGGGAAAAGAAATAAAATTCACTGCTCAATCATTCACCTGATAGGAAAAATTATGACACCAGTATTTGGGAAACAAAAAAGATGATCCTTATAAAATTACTCATAATACAGTTTACAAGTGAGTGTGCATGCGAGGGAATGAGAGATAGAGATGGTGAGAGAGACCTTCCCCAATCCCCGAAGACCGGTCCTGCACCAGCCGCTCGAGCTTCTCTACCGTCATCTGTGAATCCATAAGCAATAGTCCCAGTGCCAGCAATTAGAACACAACCACGAAGCCTTCCCATGGTACCACTTGCAAGAGCTGCCACAGCATCATTTCGAACGTAGAGTTTGACATGGCTAGGAAATATATCCCTGTGCATATTAAATCAAACATATCAGAAGTGTATAAAAGCATAATTGCATTGGAGACATGCCATTCAGATTTCATACGTTATAGAACAAAATAGCTAGTGAATAGAATATCTGCTTGGATCCTGGGAATTGATCTGAGTCCTAACTCAGGTTGTGAAGTTAATTAAATAGAAAGATTTATGCACCTAGAAGTACACTAAGGGATGTTGTATAAACACCTAGAATCAGTCAGTAATAATAAATCAATTTAGAGAGGACAAATGAACATTTGGAAAAGCTAGACATACTTTCTTTTAAGGTGCTCGAGAAAACTATCCTAAGATTTTATCCTAAGATTTTAAATCCTAAATGAGCAAATAACAGTCTCCATTACAGTAAATCCAAAGACAGCAAAAACTAATTTCATAGAAATGAATTCTTTCAAGGCTACCTGAGCCAATTCAAAATCCTTTGCTGATCCGTTGGATGGTTTACACCAGAAACAGATAGACAAACAGCTCGAACTGCAGACCGATTTGAACCTGCTTTTGAAAGAGCCTCCGCCATAACTTGCTCCAGCGTTTCCTTTGCAGCAGTTTCTGAAATGAAGATAAAATTTTACACTTTCAATACTAAAATCTCCTTTTAAATACTTCAAAACCAACCAGCCTTTTTCTCTATACCAATTTGAAACAAGAGACTACTGTCTGACTCAAAATTTTATTGTTAATAGAATTCAACCATAAAATTACTTTAATAGAAATTTCCAAATGGTAATTAAATTTAATGGATTTCTGACACTGTTTGACCATCCGTCATTACCACTAATATCTGGAAAAGACACAGCCTTGAGAGGTACTAACAATATTTATTAGGTGTATTAAAAAAATTAAGGTTAAAATATAGTTTGAACTCCTAAAGTTTACCCCTATCTATAATTTGATCCCAAAAGTTCAAAGAGTTCTATTTGTCTATATGCATGGGATTCTCAATATAACCAACGTTAATACCGACGCTTGTTGGATGGGAGGATATTTAAGGATGCGGCCGAGAATAGCAAACATTGGTTATTCCACAAGTGATATGAGGTTAAGCTCTATCAAATAGGCGATGTGCTCCGATAAAATGAGTTGACCTAGATAAAAGAAAGCTCTAACAATGGATTGATGAATAAATGTATGAGAGAAGACTTGATAATCCTTTGTTCAAGGGGAGGCTGGTTTATGAGGATAACGTCTTCATTAGTATAAAAGCCTTTCAAGTATCCGAACAAAACCCATGTTTCTTTTTCAGTTAAATTGTATATTCCATCCTTGCATTTTGTACTTGTGTCAGTTTGGTCCTTATACTTAAAGTTTCATCCTAGCATCTACACTTTAGCTAAATCTTACCAAGAGTTCTATTCATTAGGGAACAATATTAACCCTTGGATGAAAATTGACTCACAGACTCGTTAACTTTTTTAACCTATACTACCTGTATCCTACACCAATTTGGCTAAAGCTTATTAATTTCTTCCAACTTCAAATTTTTAATCATAATGAAATACATTCACCATTGGTAGCCATGCTACATGCATAAATCTCGAATAAATGAAACCGGAATCAGAAAGTAAATTGATCGAAGTCAGACGTATCCCACAACCATCCATTCAATAATCCTGCAAAATACAGCCACTAGTACAGGAAGAATAACGAGAAACATGTGCAGAAGAATATGGGTACGTACGAAAAGGGGAAGACCAGTCAGGATTCTAGAACGCAATAGGCACAGAGAGAAAGAGAGAATACCGCCAACGCTGTTATGGTTGGAGCAGCCGGCTTCGACTCGTGCAAGAACAGGAAGAGGATCGGCAAGGTGGAGAGAGTGAGGCTGTAAAAAGGGAACGCAAACGCAGATGGTGGAGGTTGTGCCTCCATCAATTCCAAGAATCACGTCTCCAGCTCCAGCTCCTCCTCCTGTTCCGTCGGACATTTCTCGCTCGAATTCCCAGATTTCGCCATTCCGATGCTTCTTCGTCATCTGCAAACTCGGAAATCAGAATCCCGTTCAAGAATCTGTGTTGTTCCTTTGCCTTAATCTCTCCTCTCAATTGCCGATACGTTCAGAAAGCGAGAGCAAAATCGATGGTAAACAACAGGGAAGGAAGAGTAGCCGAATTTTCAGCTGTCAATTGTCCACGGATAATCCTTCAAATCAATGATTGTGAATGACTACCATACCCATTTCCAAGAATCTGTATCTATCCTTTCCAACAATAACGAAAACAAACAATAAATTACAAACTCTTTTTTTTTTTTCTCCGAGTACCATTAAATACAAATTGAATCCAAATGGTTTAAAGAGAGCATGAGTTTTTCGAATCTTCTATTTCATTTTTTTATTTTAACATTTAAAATGAACACAACTGCATCAATTATTAAGATGAATTGTAAAATATTAATGGCAGCAAAACGGTTTTAAAATTAAATAAATAAAAAAGAAATAATGGGGCATTCCGAGAATTGAACTCGGGACCTCTCGCACCCTAAGCGAGAATCATACCACTAGACCAAATGCCCGATGATTTTACAACCTTCATACAATATTATTTCATATATAATGAAGAGCAAGTAAGTCATCCTTGTCATGTCTTTTTATTATCATCATTTTGTCTTGGCTCACTTAATCAATAGATTTGTCGAGTTTCTAGACAGATCCATACTTTTTGTTGAACAATTAATAATAATAATAATAATAAAAAGATTTAACAACAAAAAATAAACCATTTTTTTAATATAAATTTCAAAACAAAAACTATGAAAATGAAAATATATACTACAATTTGAGATGTTCAAAATATTGCAGACGCTCAACCGATGGTTCGACGACGGTGGTCCGGCCTAGCTCCGGTTCTTGACTATGCTCGCTTGGAGATTGTGGGAAGAAGTGCTTTTTATTTGAGCATTTGAAGACAACGAAGAAGCTAATAAAATTGCAGATTTTATGGCTATGAGCAACGTGACAAAGCTTTGCCATGAGGTTACATTTTAATTCCAAGTCATATGTTCATCATTCACTAAATTATTTTCCGGTAAAAAGTTTTTAATATGTCTTATATCAATTCATTTAGTTCCTAAGATTTTCTAGCGATCGCACCTTCAAATACCCACTCCCACTTGTTGTACTAAAAACGCAAGAGTTTTAAAATTTGTCAATAAAAAATAGTAAAAAAGTTGTATTAAATTTTATGAATAGAATCAATTGATGGGACAAATCTCAAATTTAAAAATAACTCTTCCTAAATGTGGTAATCTCATTCCTTCTCTTGAAAAGGTAAACGAGGCATCAAATTCTTTAAATTAGGGAATTGAAGAAAGATTAAAAATCTCAATTCTAAGCTAACCCATCTCCATATAATCTACTTTCCACTCTAACTGGAGCAAATAAATGTAAACTTCAATTGTGGGCAAAATAGGCAAAATGTCAGGTGAATTTACAAGCTTAAACAACTCCTAAAAAGCTTGAAACAGTCCTACAGCTGCAGAAGCACCAAGAGCCAAGAGGGTAGTAGAAGTACCTTTCAATTTCAACAATTAGGACAGTCCCTCGCCCAATGCCCAGGCTTACTGCATTTGAAACAGGTTCCAGATGCAGATGGATTTCTGCCCAACTCTGCAAATGGAGGATTAGATGATGTATGTGATTGTGAGCAATCTCTAGCCCAGTGCCCTTCGCCGCCACATTTGTAACAGGAAGAACCGGTTCTCACGGCAAAGCTTCTGCTTGCATCTATGGAAGAACTGGTTCTTGGAGTTGGAGCAAAGCTTTTGCTTGTATCATTTGCGTTACCATAGATCTTATAGTCATTCACTTGATTCTTGGTTGCCATGGGAGGCTCCTTGCACCACTGGAAGAACCCACAACTTTCCTGCAGAACAGATTTAAGTCCAGCTGATGAGGAATTACAACATGAAAGTTGAAAAACAAACCATTTTCTGTATACAGTACAACTATGCAATTTTCAAGCATTAAGATGATTATGAGGTTCATCAAGACGAGGGAGATGAGGAAATTATCATTACCACACAAGTAGAAAATTCAAAGAGATATTGGGGCTGGATATATCATGTATATAAAATAAATATAGAGGGATAAACCTTGGAAATGTGCAATGACAAAGTGATATACAGATGAAAATTGTCTGATTTCCAGGAGTAACCAATGAAGCATTCCCACCATCTAAAAGGTAGGGAGTACTAAAACGACATATTCACTTGTCCTCTTACACTAACTTGTATCGTATGGAGAGGAGAGTTGTATCAAATTAACTTGCTCTTGATCGTGCTTACAATGGTAAATATGAGAATATGACATAAAGGTATAATGAGGCTAAAGGAATCTTGTAGGAATGCACCCCTCTATTTGGTGGTGTCTAAACTATAGAAAATTCTTTTGTAACTACAACCTTGGCTTGATTATGAACAACTGGAAAGCTCTCTATTAGTTGCTCTTGGGTGGGAACCCTTACGCTGTTTGTGCTCTTTTGTCTGTAATACATATGTTCTAAGTTTCTTTTTTAAAAGAAACCTGGAGATAACTATATAATGATGTTTTCTGGATAGAAGTCCTCTAACATCCGTCTTGATACACCAACTAGAAATATGAAGGGTAATTGGTGACTAATCCCAATTGCTTGCAATAATTAAAGCCACAAAAAAAAGTCTCTCCCCCACTCTTCTTCCAGCCTCGCATTTAGGCTATCATCAAAACCATAATATACAACTCCCAACAGAAAATGTTACAAAATTGGGAGCACAAATTATATTGATACTGCATCTCTATGAGTATATATTCGAAAAATTGAGGCAAATGTATGAGAATCACTTGAGCCTAATGCCGCAATAACACAAAATATTTTATTTTCATCAATATTCTGAATGAAGCATCCAATGCATATTACAGAGTAACAAAAGCAAAAGCATTCCCTCACATTTCAGTCTATTAGCTAGATAGTAGTACAGTACAAGACATTTATGATATGAAAAATGAAAATCCAATAACCAGAACTCTAATTCTGAACAAACAATTTATGAGCCTTCGTATTCAAAATTAAATCATCACAAGGCAATAAAAACAGCAAAATCATTTCCATTATAAAAATCACCTGATATGAAGGACAACGATAGAATTGCTGACCAACATTTTCCCCTGTTTTAGCTGTTAGAATAATGCAAGAACCAGCACCACAGGGGCACATGAGGTCTGAGAATAATGAACTTGATGCACGATTTTGGCTCCCATAAGTCATCACATTAGTTCCAGAAGCACTGTCACACCACTCAAAGAATCCGCACCCACCATTTTCCTGAGAGCAATTCAATGAAAATCAGAAGATAATAGGAGATTCGAACTCGAATTGGTAATAGCAAAATTTACAGTTTAAATTGCTACTTGGACAAATTTGTTGCACTCACATACTAAAATTAATTGGGTAAAGAACAAATAACGTGTTAGCCTCATCACCTGTCGAACGGGACATTTGTAAAACTTTCGACCGCGATTCCTTTCCGTATTCGCAGTTAGCACAATACAAACTCCCAATCCACAGGGGCATGCTTTCTCCGCAACAGACGCATCAGTCCCTGCAGTGCCGAAAGACCCACCGCCTCCCGGAGCATCGCAGTCTCTGGCCCAATGCCCTAATTTCCCGCATTTGAAACACGAACCACCGCCTTCCGATTGAGCAGTAGGATTTGCAGAAACGAAGCCCCTGTTGGCAGCGGCGACGCCCTTCGCCCTAGAATTGGCTGTTCCACCGGAAATTTGAGACGGGAGATTAGGTTTTCCTCTCAAAGCGGCCATGTAGAGTCCTTCCGGTTCCTCCGCGATTGCCATTTTGGGCGGATCGATGGTATGATTGGGGATCCTTCTGCGTTTACTGGCTAGGGCACGAGCTTCAGCCGCGGCAACCGCAGAAAGGAAATCCTCATCGTCGTCATCTTCGAGATCGAATTCGAAGTTCCTCTTAGCTTCGATCTTCATCTCTCCCTGATCGGCCTCTGCTCCGTTTTGAAATTTGCCTCTTTTTTCTTGTAGGGTATAGTACTATAGTTTCCCTTTCCCGCCTTTTGCCATTTCTTCCTCCTTCAAATACTAGTTTGATCCTAAAAAATATTTTGAAACTTGTCATCCCAATTTTGAATTTTGATTTATTTTAGTCTCTCACTTTTAAAATGTTCATTTTGGTCCTATAATTTTAAAAAGATGACCATTTTGGTCTATTGATTTTATTTTTTATCTCATTTTTTTATCACAATTTTAACACGACATTACAATCAATATATTATTTAAAATGTAAACATTACTTTATACTAAAGAATTTCCGTAATGTGTAAAATTTGTGTTAAAAAATTGTAAAGGACTAAAATGATCACTTTTTAAAAGTACATGAACCAAAATGAATATTTTCAAAGTATATGGATTAAAATGAACCAAAATTTAAAATATAAAGACCAAAATTAACATTTTCAAAATACAAAGACTAAAATGAATTAAGACTGAAATTATAAGAACTAACATAATATTTTTAACCTTTATTTTATTTTGCAAAGGAAAGATTAAAGTGTGATCTTATGTAACCTATATGGTTGGAGGGGTGAAGAAGTCTCGACCAGGAGTCGAGGGACTTGCTTGTGCCAATTGAACTCCTTATCCGATTTAGATAGGCTTCGTATTTGGATGTATGTACCTTAATCCATTGAACTATATTTTATTGATATTCTTGAAGTCTCGTGGAAATAAGCATACGTAGATATATATATTTAATACTTGTTTGAATCACATCTCACATAACTTTCTTGGGCCTTTCAATTTTGTAGGCGTTAGCTAGCATAGTTGGCATGTACCCAACCTCACTTGGTCTAGGGTTTTAAGCACTTGGGTTTGATAAGCGTGTTAATAGGGTTTATTTTAACGCACGTTATGATAAAGAAGGAAGAAATTTTAGGTAATTTGAAAAAACATCTAATTAAGTTTGCATACACAAGATTTATAGATAAATTTGATTCGTAGAGTTGAACTTGATTTTGTATTGGTTTTTTTGTAGCGACTAGTGAGTACGATTTCTCATATTTACTCCTCCAATTCTTTTTCTTGAACTAAATTTGACTCGAGGGTTGAAATGCTTGTTTTCGGATCCAGGAGGTTGGAGATTTTGACTTTTAACTTGTTCAAGGTTTTCAACTTCTAGCTTATTGATTTCCTTGTGTAGGCATTATGGCTTGTTAATTCCTTTGAATCAACCTTTTGGACTTGTTGACCTCTTTGGACTCAATCCATCAATGTCTTGAAGTCTTGTATCCTCTAATTGCATTTATCTTGTCTTTAAAATGTTCGGATCTTCTAGTCTTCAACTTGTTGTAGTCTTCAAAGTTAAGTTTTCAAGTCTTTGAAGTCTTAACCTTCGGAGTATTTGATCTTGATAAAATTAGTCAACAAAGTCTTTAGAATCTTACATCTTCAAAGTCCTTTGAGTGTTCTAGTTTTCAAAAGTAGTATCTAGTTTGCTAGGAGTCTTTTTTGCATTCTTTAAACTTCTAGACCTGTGAAGGGTGGTCTCTCTATTTTCCACGAGCTTTTAATAGGTCTGGACTTGGGTGGTGTTGGACTAACCTTTACATATGGGCTCTATTTGTGTCCTAAGCAAATTCTCTTCAATGAACGAGGTTTGAGTTTGAAATGATTTGAACCAACCTTTTGACTTGGGCTCCATGTGGGTCATAGATTCAATTTTCTTCGGTGAATTCAGACTTATTCAAATTATAAAACTTATGACTATCTTTCATTACAGTACTGTGAATTTGGCCATCACTAGTGATTTTTTATTATTATATAATTCAATTTGATCAAGCTAGCTTGGATGATCAAAAGCCATAGAAAGGACATGTGGCAATTCATGATTTGCCAAAATTCATCCACTCAACAAATTTATTTTCAAAAGCAACTATAGAAAAAGTATAGTTTGCTATAAGAATAAAAAAACACTGTTTTTTCTTTTAAATCACACCATAATTCGCTATAAGAATAAAAATCTCAATACAGACCATTTATCACTGGTTGAAAAATACTACTTCTAAATATTCACAAATAAAAGTACTTCTATATCATAATCATTAAGACTATTTCTGACCCTTTAAAAACACTTTCATCATAGTTAAAATTAGTACCAAACGTACCGTAAAACGACAGTGAAAGATGGATCAAAGTCAAATCAAGTGGCAGCTAGGAATTGCACAAAAATGACAAAGACAAAGCCATTTAAAAGATTAGTCACCCTTTCTCCTATATTAAAAAGCAAAATAATTCCATAGCTTTCCAAAAATGGAAATCCCACATTTTTCTTGCAAAAAATATACATATATAAAGTTGCATCCATCACCTCCTCAACCACTTAGACACCATCAATTAATTAGAAAAAAATCTCTGTCTACTTTGCCTTGTGGATGTCTTTTTCTCAAGAGAGTGACCTTTCAATTTACTTTGTGAAGGGAAACTATGCAATTTAGTGATTGGATGAAGGATACCCTACCATGTGCTTAAACCACCACATTTATTTGCTCGCACTAATACAATTTTCTTTTCCTTTTTTTATCCTTCTACACTTTTTTTTTAATATCCATGAATATTCGGACAGCTTACACGAATCTCGACTAATCTTAAGGACGACTGTCTGACCTTACCTACATTTGATTGTTAAAGAAACACGTAGTATATTAAATCTTAAGTAGATGGTTACCATAGGATTTGAACCAAACTATTTTACACCTTTTAAAGCAATCGAAATTTGTCAATTCCATGTTTGCATCTTTTCTTTCTTTTCTCCCATCTTTTTCTTGCATTTTCTTTGTCGCTTGATGTTGATTTGTTGGACTTTTTTGTTCTTTTTCATGTAATTCGTCACTTGCTATCTGTGTCTATACGTGATTGAAATTTTCAAGTTTTAGTCTTTACGTTTTGAATACGTTGTATTCTTATTACTTTAATTTTACCTCGTTGTTTGATTGAATCTCTATAGGTAGGTTCATGTCCCTGAATATACACTTACCCCCTTTCAAGTATAAATAAGGATTACAATTAAGTTTTTCAACCTATAAATAATAGTTAAAGAAAAACGAAATTATTGTGACTTTTCTTGTTTAGAAAAATGTTTGATCCCTCGTTGTAGTTAATTGATTAGTTGTTTTATGTTATCTATTTTATATAGTTTCATGTAATAGAGATCTTGTTTTCTGATTTGGACATATAATTTATGATGAAAACATTAGCGATCTCTAATCTCTTGGTTTGATTCTTCACCTTTTTGTTTGAAAGGTAATAATTTGAAAAGAAAATTGAAATCTTGTTTTGTCATACATATATATATATATATCCTGATTTTTCACATCTTTTCAAGGAGAATACTTAAGTTTTATAATAGAAAATCTTATACAAATTTTTTATAAAATTAATAACTTAATTGAGAGAGATGGAAACAAAGCAGAAATCGTAAAATATGAGTAATTGAGGAATTTTTTATTTTGGGAAAAGTAAAACTAATAAATCATTGGATGTGAACTTACCAAAATAATCAAATTACAACATTAATTCATAAAATTTTTGACAATTTAAAACTTTTTATCAAAGATAGAGGGAGACAAATGTCAAAATAAATAGTTTAAATCACACTTTAAACATTCATGAATTGTATCTCTTTGTAATCTTTAAATTTGGTATAAAATTCCTTTCTAATTCTCACTCTCACTCTCACTCTCTTAAGTTTGGAATCCTCATTTGCCAAACATAATGATTTTAAAATTATTTATCGTGCTTGGTTTCAAAAGAAAAAAAAAATGAAATCCAAATTGATTTGAAATCGCATCCCAAGTGAGATGCCCAAGATAAAAGGAACGAGGGGAAGACTGACTAGTAGTACCATTAGCCTAAACGCTCTGTATCCTTCGCGGCCGCCAATAGTTCTAATTCCTTCACGTCTTTCTTACCCGGTGTGATTCAATCCTTTAGCTCAACGCCCAGGAATCTGCTTGACATCTCAATGGCGGGATTGGATACCCGCATCCGATCGAAGTTCCATTTTAGTTGCTTAGACTTGACTTTATCCCCCTTTTTTTCCCGGTCCATGAGAAGGCTCTCGAGAGGCTAATGGAAGAGCCTGGGGGCTGTTCGCCTTTTGAATCAAACAAAGTAAAAAGTAAGTAGTAGGGGCTTCATAGCGACTTTCATTCTAAAGGAAATCGAATAATCCACCTTTAGTCAATATGAGCCCTACTTCCCTCTTTGCGACATCATCACTGAAATGAAAGCGCAAAGAAAATTGCTTGATGAGTTGTCCTATCTTGTATCGAAAGGTTTTTCGTGCTTCTGGAATTGATAAAAGAAACCTTCCAGTAGTTAGGAGCTCTTTCTCTCGCGGTAGTGCGCTCTCCCTATTTTGAGTGGGTGCTCACAAAGGGTTCCACAAGCAAGCTATTATTCTGCGGATCCCCATCGTCTTCCCTCTAGCACACGAGGATCAGCCCTACTCACCAGAAAGCGTTCTAGTGCGTTGTAGATTCTTATCCAAGACTTGTATCATTTGATGAATCACATTTTGGCACAAAATTTTCTAGTTGGATTTGTAAGTATTTTAAATCACGACGTAACAAACTCTAAATTGAAAAAAAAAAAGAACAAAAAATAATAGATGTTTTATCTTTTTAATATACCTTACATTTATATAATCTAAACACAACATTTACTGTACTTTATTCCACGCAGATTGTCATTCAAGCAAGAGACTAGAGTTCGTTTTCTCTTTTTCCTCTCCTACGTCTTTTTGGATCACCATTCAAGTAAAACTCGTCAAGTTTATTTTCTATTTTTCTTGATTGTCTTTTTTTATCCGTTTTCTTTCCATTTTATTTCATTTTTGTAACAGTAATTTAGATTAAAAAAATCACTCCAAAAAAGGAGGAATTTTACAGGTAGTTTGTTTTTTTTAATTAGTTGAGTCATGTTTTGTAATTTGCTTTTACTTAAAATAAATATATTCTTTATTTTGATTTAGATTTGAAATAATTCGACTTTTTAAGTATTTGATTTTTTTAATTATTTGAAATTACTAAGTTGGATGGATTAACTTATTTCATTTTTTATATAGTTAACAATATTATTCCATATTAAAATTATTATATATTAAATATCATGCAAAATTAAAACACACGATAGTAAAATATTATATTTTTTTATATCTTGTGAATATCAAAATCATAAATTTTAATTTCAATGATTTAAAATCATTAAATTTTAAAATCATTTTCATCTTTTAAAATCCTAAAATTTGAAATCATTTCTAATCAATTTCCAATGTCAAATGAAACATTAATTAAATTTATGGTGTACATTAGGAAAAAAATCTATCTAACTGCATGCTTTTGCCTTAAATCTTATACTCTTTTCATAATGAAACTATTTTTTGTGAGTATTTAAACTTTTAGTTTTGTCCTGTTGAATGGTTTTTACTTGAATATGGGTTTTTTCTTCTTCTTCTTTTTTTTTAAGAAATTTGAAACTGATGAAGTCAGCTCACATTTGGAATTAGATTTCTTTTTTAATGGTTTAATTTGTGTAAATTTTTTTACAGACTATTTTCTTGGTAGATCCAAAATATTTGGTTTCTTTAGTAAAGATCTTGTTTATCGTTTTCTACTTCTTATTTTTTGTTTTTACAAATATATTAAACTAATTTTCTTTTCTAAAAAAATATATTTTAAAAATGAGATATTTGGTTCATTGTTTCTTGATTCTTCTCCGGTTTTTCCATAAATTTAAATAAAAGTATTATGTTATCATTTTTCTTATCTTTCTTGTTTTCGATAAAAAAATAGAGAAATAAGAAATAATTATCAAATATAATTCTTTTCTCTTTCAAAAAACATAAAACAAGAAACGGAAAATGATACGCAAACAAGAACAAAAATATAATGAAACGGGAGCTGTTAAATGTAACGAACACGTGTTCTTTAATTGGTTTGGTTTGGTTTTGGTTCGAATTATAATATGCAAAAAAAAATCAAATATCAACCAAAGTTTAACCAACGTGGTACAGATTTTTTTTTTCTTTTTTTCTTTCTTCTTGAAAATGTGAAGTCCACGTGGTGGCACGTGAGTGGCTGAAAAGTGCTATTCCAATAGAAGAGAAATTAGCACGTGCCATGTGAGTGACCTACAGACACACTTCACATGCAATTCAATGCGCTCGCTCTTTTTTTCTTTTCTTTTTAAAAAAATTAATTTTACAACCTCCCAATAATTTTATGCCAAATTGGAGCTAAGGGGAAAAAATGTTTAAAATCTATGAAATTATGTATTTATTTTGTTTTGCTCCCTCAACTTTTAATTAAAATAATTACTTTAGCGAATTATTGTTAGTTTTTTTATGAATAGTATAGTAATAAAATTGGGCATGATATGTATTTTATTAATTTACTCAATGAGAAAAATGTGATTGTCTATTTGAACAAGTAATTCAAATTGTCAAATCGAACAGAGTTCAACTGGTTATAACATATATTTCCGATCAAAAGTGAAGATTTTTGTTAAATGATTAAAGAAAAATTAAGGACAAGGATTAAGATGGTATTTTATGCCAACTCCAAAATCTACTACAAAATATTTAAAAATTTAAGTACTAAAACAAACTAATTGAAAATTTAGAGACTAATTTCAAGTAAAAGAGAACTATTATTGAGGCGTTTGACTATTTTGATTTTATAAAAACAAAGTTAAACTTTATAGTGAAATTTCACCCATTTTTTAAAAATTAATCACGAGACCTAGATTTTATGGTTTTATTGAACATTTCTTTTGATTAAGTTCCAACATTTTGGTGTTGAGTTTGAAAAATTAGTAATTCTTTCCCTTTTAAGGCATTTTTGTCTTGGACCGTTTCTTTTTCTAGACATTATTTAGATCGATGAGAAACATTACTACTAATTGAGGTTTACGATTTATAGAGAAGAATTTAAAAGTTTAATATAAATTAAAACCCTCTCATCTGGCTATAAGGGTGACGTATACGACAATTCAACTAACAAAGATTCAATTGATTTAAAGTATCTATTTTGAGTTCAAATCTCTAACTCCCAAGTCTCAATTAATTCCAAAAAAAATGAGTTCTTTTTTTTGAGTTAAAATTTAACATTAAGAAAGAAGAAGAAAAATGTGAGATATTTCTGTAGGAATGAGAATTTATTACCAAAAAGAAAGAGAGGAAGTGATTTGGGTGGAAAATGGACACCAAAAGAGGCTCTAAGAAAGGGTTTGGAGTTTATAACTAAAAAAGCAAAGCAAAAAAACAAATCCAACAAATTCCAACTCCTCACAAGGTGGGGAACTTTCCATTTACAAATAACCATTTTCACCCTTTTTTCTCTCTCTCATAAATTGACATGTGAATCAATTCCCACAAACCCCTTCAAAGCCTCCAACTAAACCTAATCCCTTTTGCCATTGCCATGCCCATTTTTGGCAAAAGAGCTGGACTTCTAGAGAGAGAAAACCCAAGAACATCCAAAGAGAGAGAGGGCCATATGATCATATGATACCCCCATCTTCTTCTTTCTTTTTTTTCTTAGCACGTTTCTCCAAAGATCTCATTTTTCACATGCCCATTTGCTTACAACATCAACCATGTAGATATTTTTGACAGTTTGAAAAGTTTCATAATCTCTCTCTCTCTCTCTCTCTCTCTCTCTCTCTCTCTCTCTCTCTCTCTTAAGTCTTATATATATGTGATGTCTACAGGCCATGGGCTTCATTCAAAAACTTACAACTTAGAGGATTGGATTTGGATTTGGATTGGAGATTGCAGATTGGAAAATGGGAAGGGAATTCAGTTTGGAGCTTGGTCTATGGCCATCTTCCTCTGTTTCACAACCAAAAACCTTCCAATTCTCTGCAATTCCCATGTGAGACTAAATTATATTAATTCACAATCAGCTTTTTCTTCTTCTTCTTCTTCTTCATTTTGGTTTTATGAATGAATGGGTTTTGGAATTGTGTTTTATGGATATTGTAGGACTGTCAACCATCAGCAGCAGATCATGGTTTTCTATAATGGAACATTTTCCTTCTGTGACTTGACTGAACTCCAGGTAAATTCCTCTTTTATTCATTATCATATTCTTCCTTTTAATAGTTGGTGGAGAGTAGTATAAATTGCATATAATTCTACCCAATTGGAATATGATGTGTGTCTAAAGAAAGGTTTTATATTAGAAGTAAGCTTTCTCCCAACTTTTAGAATGGTAAAAAGTATTTTCAATAGTACAATGTTAAAAAGTGAGCTTGTCATTACTCTTTCGATGGTAAAAAATGTTAACATGGCAAACAGATCTATCAAAGTTCGCTCAATTGAGAAACTCCAAATAAGTTAACTTTTTCTTCCTATATTAAATCCTCTAGATTCCAATCGGTACATTAGTCAAAAGCGGAAATGTATGAAAGCTATCATTATCACTCAAAACACGAAGCAATCCAAAGAAAAATTAGCGGGTTTTGAGAGACACAAATGAAGCTAATATGGTTACATTTTTGCAGGCAAGAGCAATACTACGGCTTGCAAGCCAAGAGAAGAATGGCAACGGAAGATGGGCCAACCCAGAATGGTTGAGTTTGCAAATGCCAAAGAATGGGAATGGGAATGCAGGTTTCTCCATTAAGAAATCTCTGCAGAGATTCCTACAAAGGAGAAAGACAAGAAGAATTCAATCAATGTCTCCATATCACAAATTGTAATAACCAACCCCCCCTCAAAACCCAATTCAACTTCCATCAAACAATCAACATCAATCAAAGCATTCCAATATTTTCACTCTCATTCTCACTTTCTTATTGTTAATGGAGATCAGCTTAAAAAAAAATACAGGAAACTTATAACACTCTTTTCAAGCTTTTTGAATGAGACCACAATCGCCCCGCAATATGAAAACGAACATCCATCAAGACATGAGCATGTGGTGTTTCGCTGGAGGGGGGCGGGGCAGGGATGTTTGGCAAATAAATTAATCCCTGGAATGAGAATCTGCCTCTCTTGCATGTTATTTAACAGCTAAAATAGGCACATTGGGAGAGGGGAATGGGCCAAATGGTGCCTCTACATTCCAGAGTAAAATCGAAAGCCCAACAATCAGTCAGCCCATTTCATGTAAAGAGAAGGTGAGGTAGAATTGAATCACCGAGTAAAGAGACATCATATACTTCTAATCCAGCTGTGAGAGACCAATGAGACAATGGCCTAAAGAAACTTTGAACAAACATACATCTTCCAAGAAGGAAAAAAAGAAATCAGTCTGGAAAAGAGAAGACTCCTGAAAGTTTTAGAATGACTGCTGCCCTCTACAACCTATTTTCTTGACTTTTCAGCCTCAAGTTAAAGACAGAGCACCAAAATAAAGCTCCCGTCACAACCCCATTAAGAATTTTAATAATACACATTTATGCATATGACTATTATTAAACAGAATAAGCATTTTTAGATGGAACTTCTTTTTTTTTTTTAAGAAATAATAAAAGAAAACGCTGAAATGGATAAAGTAGAAGCCCTTCAACGGACTCCTGAGATAAGGCCACGCCGCTTACCAATCATCGCATCCTGCCTCGTCCGACCCCGAGAACGTTCACCTCCTGAAGGAAGCGAGCGATGCAGAAAATAACCATCTCAGTAGTAACATCGTTACCCGGCAACTTCATCGTGGTTTCCGTTCCTAACCCCTAACTGATTCTGAATTCATTTGCCCACTGCTTCCTCCATGAGCACTGAATCCTGAAACTGGCATGGAACGCTGAGCAAAATCCATTAGAAGCTTCCTTTGGGGTTCATTGGTGTGGGGAAGACTGGCACGAAGAAGCTCCACGGGCATTTCACGGCCAATTGCTCTGGCTGCCTCTGACCCTATAATATCAGTGCTTGATGGCGTCTGTGAAAATAATGACTGCACAATAGTCTCATATTTACTCACGCAGTACTTCGTAAGGAGACTGAAGAATTCATCAAACGATGCCTGCCAGAGCGCTCGATTAGGCATGCTACAGTTACTGACAGCATGAGGATCGGTTAATAATTCAGTAGCCCTTTCAAGAATGGACTTTAGAACAACGGATGCCCCATCTCCAGCAGAACTTCCAAGGGGGCGTAGCGGCGGCTGCTCTGAGGAACAGACAACTGCAACAAGACAAGCACTTAGTGCACGAAGGTCCATGCCATTAACACAGGCAGAAACTGTCTTTGACAGATTAGATGTTGACTCAGCTGCTCCAGGATCAGATGGAAGTCCACCAAACAAGAACCTTAAATGGCGAAAAATAGCCATACAGACAATTCTAGCAAGCTCGCTACCAGGGAAAAGCAGCTTGAGGAATCTAGAAATAAGTTTTCGACCTTTGGGAAGAGAGACCAGTCGCAAGAACACAATGTCATCTTTTGGAGATGGGCCAACACCATGACTACTTTTTCCAAGTGGGTCAACAAGCTGAAGTGACGCTGCCAAACCTTCTAGCAGCATCTGCCGCCTTCGTCTAAGCTGGACTCCTCCATCTTGTGGTTTATTATGTTGTAAAAGCCGATCAATATCATCTATATCAAGAAGAAGACAGAGACCATCTTCAATAGTGATTCTAGCAGCAAGCATGGGTTCCTGCTCCAATGGCCTCTCAGATATTGCCTGATCAGAGCTACCATCACCCGAGCCTGAGGATGGAGGATCAACTTCAAGGAGGGGACGAGGTCTTCGAATAGAAGCGAGGGGTATTTTCCCCAATGAATCAGGCGTGGAATGAGAATGCTGATCTGAACCACTACGAGATCGAGATGGAAGCTCCCTTAGTCGAGATGGACAAAATGCATTCTTTGATCGTGAACCAGCAGTTTTTTTGGCAACACAAGCTTGGTGATAATAGTCATCAATATAAGGATCATTGCTGTGGGTGGCAGCATGCTGCATCTTCAGGATACTTTCAATCTCCTCAGCTGTCATATGCTTAGATCTTAACTGGATGAATCCACTATCACTCTTTTGACTACCAGTATCAGAACCTTGCTGAGAAGAACGCATATTATGTTTCCCTCTCTGCGACTTAGGTTTTTGATCTCTCACATCAGTCAATCCAACCATTGCTCTATGTGAGGATGGTGAATGGGCATTATAGAGCTGAGACTGAAGTGCTGCAAAATGCGCCAAAGATGGTTGAACTGGGTGATGTAGCCTGTGCTGTTGCAGCTGCTGATGAGCTGACAATAACTGAGGGGACAGAAGGCCATTTGGATGAGATAGTTGCTGCTGCAATATACTGTTGTAGAGATTTGAGTGGTCCCCGTGTAATAAACCAGCATTGTTAATCCACTGATTTTGTGGCCTGCTACTAAAAGAAAGGCCGGGAGTGGTGAACTGGTGTATATTACCTCCATAATGCAAGCCATGATGCAATCCAGCTAACTGCAGATTAGACTTGGATAAAGAAGTGATGTTTGGTGCAGAGAAGGGTAACTGACTTCCATCAGCAAGGGATGAAATACTACGGTGACGAGGTGAACCATGTTGAGACCTGCTTCCCGGAGGTGGGAAGGATGTGAAAGAAGATTTTGGCACTAGAATTGGTTCACTAGAGAAGTGATGTTGTGTAGGTTGCTGCTGAGGGTAAGAGGATGTTCTATACAAAGGTTTTGGATCTGGAAGACGAACAGAAGATTGAGGTTGAGATGACCATCTCTTCTCCTCCTGAGCACATTCTGTATCAAATACATGCTGCTCTAACCAATTACAAAAGTCTCCATCTTGTGCCCAATCAGTTGCAGATGAACCTAAAGAAGAGGATATGATAATCAGCACAAATAGAGAATTATTATTAGAACATTAGAACTAAATACGAAATTATATCTTTAAGGAGGACCCCAACGGCCAACACACATCAAACTGCAGAAAACATATTATACACCATAACTTATTAAAATAATCATAAATAGAACTGATCAGCCCTCATGTTTGTTATGGCACATTAAACACCAAGATGGTGAAAGAAAACCAAACAGTCTCTTCTTTGCAACAAACCAAGGGTGGTATAGTATGTTTTTTTCTTTTCGGTTTTAATAAGAAACAACCTTTAACTATAGGTATACTGCGTATCATAGATGGAACTTCTTAAAGATCAAAGCCCCAAAAGGATTCTTACTTTTCTTGATTAGGTTCATCAATAGGAAATAAGGTATAAAAGGTAGGTTGACAAGGCCTCAGCCACAAACAACACCAAAGAGATTTAACAATCTGCATTGATTCGTAAATAAAGGGTCATAATTACAGCAGAAGTAGTTGGGAAATAACCTAGATATTTAACAATCTCCCTAACACCATCCAGCCTCAATCAATCAGGAAAAACCTGAACTTAAGGAAGGGACTTCCTTAAAAGCACATTCTATGAATTTCTTTTTTGTGATTAAAACATATCTTAAATTTCCTATCAAAAAGAAAAAAGTACATATATGAGAAGACTCAAATTAGACTTTGAATGATCAAACAAAAGTAATATGAAACATTTACATCCGTAAGTGCCACTCATTTCCTACGTGGCTAATACAACTCCATTGCATGCCATCAGCTTGCCACTTCACACAGTAGCTGTTAGCTTATTTATATTTCCATTTTATAAGCTATATTATCATTTTAAATAATTGGTTATGGTTGTAACAGTGGACCCAGTGGGCCACTCCTTTCTACTATAAGTATTATGTGTGCTTATGCACTAGAGGAGCAGACAAATCACACGACATTTCACTATTTTCTCAATTAAAATTGCTCTGAAGCACAAAAAACAAAAAGCTTCAGCATTTTCCTTTTCTTCAATTCAACTTCCCGTGACATTTCCCTTTTCCATTCTCTCCCACAATTACACACAGAATGGGGATTCACATCATAAACGATAATCATGAGAGGAAAAAACTACAAGTATTTTGATTCAAAGAGAACCAAATTTCAGCAAGCTCAATTCATCAATCACTTGCAGTTTGTCTGCTGCTATTGATTTCTTTGAAATAATGTCAGGGCTTAAGGCTAACCTCAGCAAAAACTTAACCACGGGTATTAACATTGAGGAAGATGAGTAAGTTAGTATCGTAACTGGAAGGCTGCCATTGTCTAGTTTTGGGGGGAGGGTAATCTGGACCCTCCACCCTTAGGTTGTCCTTTTTTTAGATCAATGAATACTTTGTTTCTTATATAAAAATAAAAAATTAAATAAATAAAAACTAGTATCCACTATCCAACAATTGAGGAAAATGAGATTAATAGGATCGCCCAGTCCTGGGGTTGTGGAGTTGGTAAGTGGCCTTTTTAATATTTAGATTTTGGGGTGCCCTGTAGAGGCCGGGGAAGTCCCAAAAACAAGAGCTTCAAGGATCCGGTTGAGGAAAGGCTTGGTTAATGAGCTGGCGAAATGGAAGAACCTTACATGCTCCAAAGACAAGTCGCTAACCCTTATCAATCCATCTCGAAAAATCCCCCTGTAAACCTTCAAATCACCTAAGGTTGTCATTAAAAGACTTGAGAAAATAATGCTGGAATTCTTGTGGAAAATCACGTCCAACTCGAGAGTTAACAATCTGGTTAGTTGGAGTATGATAACCACTAGCTTTGACAATTGGTGGAGGTTTGGTAATGGAAAATCATGATGTCAGGAATGTGAACATTTTGGCTAAATGGGAATGGAGATTCATGATCAGAATGAGCCCAATGCTCTATGGAGAAAGGTGATCACCAGCAAGTGTCAACAATAATGATTAGTGGTTCCCTTTATTTTAAGGCCATCATCTCTAAAAGGGGCCATAGGGTCCAATAGCTAAACTTTGTTCCCTGGTGAAGAAATGGTACAAAGACAAGCTGGGAATAGTGAGAAAAACTTGTTTTGGGAGGATGATTGGACGGGAAGCGGCCCCTCAAATTTTCCTTCAAAAGACTAAATCATATGGCTACATCTTAGGAGTTTCCACACGTCATCATTGCTAGTTATAGGAGTTGCAATGAGCTCTCTTACCCCATCCTCCCTGAAACGAGTGGATTAATCATCAAAACCCTAACAAACTTCACCATCCTAAAGCCCAGGAAGACTCAAAATGGTTGTTCCAGTGGTTGTTTTACTGTGACCTCCCTCCTCACCAAATTCTCACTGGAAGGAGGAAAATTTTTAATCAGTCCCCTGACCTAAATGCAATTTAAAAAGATAATTTCCTAAGAATGTTAAAGTCTTCCTTGGGATCTTCATTTAAGAACAATTAAATACTTGCAATCGGATCCAAAGGAAATTTCCTAACTTATTGGTTTCCCCTAGCTTGACCGCCATATAAAAGATAGTTTGGAGAGTCGTCGTCTTTTCTTCTAATGCCCTCTAGTTGCAGCTAGCAAGTCCAAGCTTCTTCCAATAAGCTGGTGTTGTCCAATAGGGTGTGATGCCACTTTCTCCTAGTTCTTGGAGGGCTCTCCTTTTAAGGGGCAAGCAAATGTGTTGCAGTTCAATGTCACGCCTCCTTTTAAGGGACAAGCGAAAGTGTCGTGGTCCAATGTCATGACAGCCACTCTTTGGAGATTGTTTTGGGACAGTTTTGGAGAATCATTTGAAGCATGATTGGCTTGCAATAAATTGTGCCCCTTGATTATGGAGGTGGTCCTAGTCCTCGCATTGTTTCAGGACAAGGGAGGGGATTTTTAGGAGGGAAAATTCCTTTAAAAATGTGTGGGCTACAACTAGTTTTAATGTCTCTATTAGGGCGTCAGTTATTTTTATAATTTTTTAGTTTGTTTCCTTTGTATAAGCTCCATTTGTAGTGCACTTTTCTCTTTCTTTGTATTGCCCATTTGAATTATTTTAGTTGTATGGATGAAAGCTTGGTTTTTCATTGGAAAGATAACAATATATGTGATTTTCTTATCTCAAAAAATAGCATATCGTAACCAGTAATTAAAGGGAAATTATTCAAAAATTGGACGATCAATAAGTGGAAATTAGAGGGCAATAAGAAGATATCAGCTCCAGATATCTATAGTTGGTGTCACTGTTTTCTTTTATGAGAAAACAAGCTCTCATTGAAGAGTTGGTATCACTGTTACAGTTTGTAATACTTTTGTTATGGTTTGGTATGCACAACGAGATGAATCTTCATCCATCCAATGCTTCTTTTGGGGTGGTGGCTAGAAGGAAAGGCAAGAAATTTATGTAAAAGCATTACTAGATCTACTCTTTCATCTATTTAGATTGAAAGAAACATAGGTTGTCCAATGATAAGTTCACAGGTTTTAGAAGTTATGTGGATATTTTGCATACTTCATAGTTCATATCATCAATAAAATATCAGTAAGTTTTCTCCTTTTGGATTGGGACCATTTTGTTAAACCCCCTAACTTGAGAATTAGGGAGGAGATAACTTGTATCCTTGCCTTCTTATACTCTCCTTTTTCATAAATGAAATCTTAAAAAAGTGCCACTTCCAGATCTTTAGTTAGAGTAAGCCATCGTGACCTCTGAGATTGTCATGATATTTTTCCGACATATATTGTATTTCATTTACTTCATACAATGATTAACCTTTGTTTATCAGAGATTAGCACAGATTGCCTACATGCTCATAAGCATCTGTCCTCAACTGAAATCAGTGCATATAATATGACCCACATTTAGAATTAATAAACTGAGGCCGTTCCATTAACTTTTTCAGCATGTACATAGTGTAATAATCTGTAAAATGTAAACTGAGGCCGTTCTTCTAATAAAAAGACGGTCTATCATTCATCAAAGCCAACCACTCTTAGCTTTTAGAATGAACAATAATGCTTCAGCAGCAAACAGACATAGACCTATGAGTTCAGAAGGACAACAAAATAAATAAAGAAAATACATAAACAGAAAACTCACTTTCCCGTGAAAAAGAACCAGATCCTCGATCTCCAATAACTCCTGGATGTCTTGGACCAGTAACAACTTTGTTCAACTGTGAAGCAAAAAATTGAGTGAGTAATACAATGAAAATCATTATTGCTATTCTCAAAAAGAAGACAATGATGGATGGAACAGCTAAACAACAGAACCAGAAGTTGAAATGGGAAGGAAAATTTGATCGATGTAAAATCTTGTAATTTCTTATTGATATACAAAATACTGTTTCTAATCCAAAAATACACACACAAAATCAGAATAGGATGCAGATGGGGGCAACACAGTTGGCTCCTGATAAAAATAAGGACTCTATTTATCAGTGAAAGTGCATCACTAAAAATGTGCATGCATAAAGCTTAGCATGGTGAACATATCCTAACGAGATGATAGGCAATAGCATGCAAACTACGCAAGTAGGCACACGTGAAATTTTATTTTTTTTAATGATGTAAGTGTAAGCTCGTTATTAGCATTCTATCAGTTGAGATTTTTATTTATCAAAGTAGTTGTAGCTATCTTCCAAAGCAACTGCTATCATGATGGTTGTTAATTGGTAAAAATATTTTAGTAAATTCAATTGACATCACATCTGCTGCATCATTACTTTAGGAAGAGAGCAGTTCTGTGTAACATATGGAACTTTCTCTCTCTTAAAGGCAGATGGTAATTTAATTCAACGAGAAGAATGCATCAGTTGGATGGATCACACCACTAACAAATTTCAAGATAAACTTTCTCATTCATCTTTATTTGATAATCATCAAGGGAGGCATACCTTTGCAAAAGTACTTGCCAAATCATCCACATCCGATAAAGATCCCAAACCTGCACCCTGAAAAAAGAAGAAAAAAATGATGAGTACTATTAAATTTGATTCCTACACCTTCCATGTAGCATTTTTAAATATAATTGTTATATAATTTTACATATTTGGAAACAAAAAACAAAAAATGAAATTGGAGAAGAATAAGGAAGAATAAACAGTATAAATGGTCAACATTCGACAATGATAACCTGTATATGCAATTAGCATAAAAGAGAGAGCCTATAGCAAAAAAATGTGCACCAGAAACTGCAGAAGGTTTTTGCTCGATGAATTTCAAAACACAAATGTATATCATATCAGCATATCAGGCACAGTCGAGAAAAAAATATGAACGAATATAACAGTTTCCCCAGTTGCTCAGAAGGCAACAACACACATGACCCATTCAAAATCCTAAATAATGTAGCATTGATGTACAAAGTGGGCCGAACATTGATAAATAAACATAAAAACATTAATACCACTGAAAAGATAATTGTGACGTCAGTAGTGTGTGCATTAGACTTCTAATGAAAATAATTTTTTTAAAGAAATCATGCATCACAGGTCCAACGAAGATTTTAAATTCTCATCGTGCTCCAAGGTGTATTCACATGTACACATCTAACTACACAAACACTTCTATAAATGCACAAAAGCATGAAAGGAATATCCACCATATTTCAAGCCAACAAAAATTTGGCTGGTTAAACACCCTTTTACATATTGCCCAAGCCTACGAGAATCTAAAAACCATCCAAAATCTTTGTTCATAAGCATAAGCAGAATAAGGAAGCAAAATGCAAGTATAAATAATTATTAGTATTAAGACATACAAGTCTAAAATCTAAATCTATAGTTTTCGGCACTAATGAGTCGAGAAAAAGTTAACACCGATGAATGAGAACTAAATATTTAAAAAACTGTTTACAAGTCAACAATAATGGACTCTTGCAAATTCTTTTAGCTCCACAAATTGGTATAAAAAATCCCTCCAGGTGTTGTAAAAGCCAACAAGAAGCCAAAAACTATCTGAAAATCTCCACCCATATGAACTAAGAGGAAATACAGTGAATGTATATATGATCTATGCTATTAAGATAAACAAGTGTAAATCTGTTTTTGTTGATGGCGATGTGAGTTAAAAAGCGAAGGAAACAAACAGGTGAAGTACAAACAGAGAATTTAGTGTGCTGTGCCACGGGAGCCGGCTCAGAACTACCTTGCCCTTGAGAGGGGAAATCTTAATGGCGCCAGATAAAATCTGGAGGTGGAGGGGTTGATTCTGCATCTAAATAAATGGGAATGTCACCTTGTCTGGAGGGGAAAAGGTCACCTTCGCTCAATCAATTCTATCAAACATCCAAACATATTTTTTATGGAACTGCAGGGATATTGAGTATCTTTTCGGGGTGGGAAACAAGTGAGGTTAGGTTATTTAACTTTCAGTACATGTTATTGTTAGATTTCCTTACAATAAAAAGGCTTTTGTACACTGCTCTTCTTATTATCTTGACAGTTTATGGAGCCTCTTTGAAATCTCTTTCCACCAACAACCAGTCCCTATTTTATCAGGTCAAAAGCCATTCTTCATGAAGTTTGAATAGAGAGAAATGACGGACCTTTCGTGGGATAATTTGGACTACTTTGTAGGTTGAGAATGTATCAGATATTCTACATTTAACCGATATATTCTTCATAAAGCTTTCAAAAATTGCAAATTCGAGCATAACTCAATAGATAAAGCACCAATTACCTTCGAGGTTGAATTGAAGATTTGATCTCCCACCCCACAATTGAACAAAAAGCTTATGGTAATTATAGCCCTAGTCCCTCTTTCAACCACCCAATGCTCTTTTTTTTTTCCTTTGGTTGGAGGAGACCTAATAATATGCTCCATAACATAAATGGTTATATGATCAAAAATCATCTATTTCTCCCGACCCAAATTCCCTAAATGATAGACATGATTTCAAATTTTCAACAAGCCAAAAGTCCTTTATCTGACCACAGAACAATTGAACAGTGCTTACCCCAAAGGCATTGAACTTCCACCAAAGAACATGAAAAAGGCAGGAAATGAAGTGAAGCAAAAGATTGTTAAGATTCATGAAAGCCTTCTTACAAATGAGATATAATTGCGAAGAGCAACATGATGGAAGAGATAAAGGACATAACAATATTACTGAAATTTTTCCAAGCTGAAAAATCCAAAGAAAACAGAGCACCTAAAAGAATTCTCACTTCTTAGTGACCACTATCCCTCAAACAATTTCCAAGTATCATTCCACTGGAAATGCTTTCCCAATCTAAATTGACATGAAAAGAAACCTTCTATTCCTCTCCAGCCACAACTCAGAGAAAATTTCACAAGGCAAATAATAAAAGGAAAGCCCTCATGAAAGCCTTCATTAAGCTCAACCTAGTTTATTAGATTCTACCAATAAAAGTTCAATTAAGCTCCAACTCTACACTAACATGCCATCTTAAAACTCAATTCAAAGATAACGAAAAATGGAAACTCAACCAAGTTTTCTCTCTGTTAGATAGGAAACAGAAATAGCATCCAAGAAACATAAAGAGAACTGGAACCTACCTCCTCCCGTACAAATAACCGATACTCTTCATCTGTAGATCCAAATAAAGGAACATCTTCATCTAATTCTAAACCTCCCAGCTCCACCTCTCCCACGACATTTTGACCAAAAAACTCATATCGTGAAGCATCGAAGAGTGAATTAGCTGCACAAAAAATTTAAAATATATATATGATTATCAATTAGTAGTTTATAAAATTAGAGGAAGGAAAGAAATAAAAAGTTATCAGCTGAGGACCATCTAATTTATCCCAATTCAAATTTTCCCCCTCTTTCCATAACACAGAACAATGCAGTAAAATAGTTCAATTTTGTAGGAA